AATCCACGACTTTTGACCATGAGATCTTTTAAAAATCCTTTGTGTACACAGGATACACGGTCATTTTTTTGCTTTATCCTATAATATAAACCTTATGCAGCACAGGGCTAAGGATATTTTTACCCAGGGTTTGCCAAATCTAACCTCGCAGATAAACAAACCTCCCACCTTTTTCCAGAATATAAAAAATATACTGCACAACATGAGCCAAAAAAGACCTCAGCACAGTCACAGGATTAAACGCCCGTTAAGGATAATATGCGAATATTTATTTTTTTGTCCTTGTTTGCATTTAATATGTATCAACTGGAAATTCATGCCCACAACGCAATATCCCTGCATATGCCATCACTTCATTCTATTTCATTTTTTCTTTTTGCCTCCAGTCGCCTTGAGACAAATAATGTGTATATTTTATAGAGAATTATCCTTATGAATTCAATTTTTCCTTCTCCTTTTTTAGTTTCTTGTCGTTATTATTTTTTTATCCTCGACACTCTCACATTATTATCTCCGTCTTGTGGTCTAATCGTCTTTTGCGAATGTTAACGCCTTTAGAGGACTGTTTGCGTAATATTTTGTAATGGGAACCAACAAACCCAGCAACAATAATAACAATGACATTACCAGCATATTGCATAAATTTATGTTGTATACAGACGTGTTGTTTTCTTCTGTCTTTTTTTTTTGGTAGAAGGACATAATCATTGAGTTCAGGCAGGATACACGGTTACTAAGTACGAGGGTGGTATTAAAATGTATCAATATAGGGGGAGTTCTTGTTGGACATTAAGGTTTCTGATTACAATATTAATAGCCAACAATATTAAAACTACAAAATAATGTCAAAATCAATAAAATGTAGGTTGTCGCTGGGGAAAAAATTGCATTCAACAATTCAAGCGTTGATCTGCATTAATTTAACAGTAGACTAAACATCGGTCCACTCCCCTCCCCTCACAAATGTTGAACATTTTTTAGTATCCTGTATCTAATATAAGCCAGCGGTATCTATGATCAACAACAAAGTCATAAATGACCCCTTTCAAAATCGTGGATTTTCGTGGCCAAAAACTCCTAGCCAAAAATTATTGATTTTTAAGAATTTTTCCCAGAAATTGACCACAAAATAGTGAGTGTTTTTAAATCATTTTTGAAATGTTCGAACAAATTTTTTTTTTATTTTTTAAAATTTTCTAAAAAAATGATCTGCAAGGACCTCCCATATAAAAAACGTGAATTTTCAAAAAAAAAAAAAAAAATTAAAGCTAAAACTCCTGACAAAAAATTGATTTATTTGAGTATTATTTTTTTATGCTTTTCTGACGCTTTCGTAGATTTTATAAATGGCATTCATACGAAAAAGTCATTTTTTAAAAATCCACGTTGGTCCTTGAAAAAATATTATTTAAAAATCCACGTTGGTCCTTGAAAAAGTATTCTTAAAAAATCCACGTTGGTCCTTGAAAAAATATTCTTTAAAAATCCATGTTGGTCCGTGAAAAAATATTATTTAGAAATTCACGTTGGTGCTTGAAAAAATATTATTTAAAAATCCACGTTTATTGGTCCTAATGGTCCAAGAAAAAGTATTCTTTAGAAATCCGCGTTCGTTGGTCTGTTGGTCCTTGAAAAAATATTTTTTAAAAATAATACATAAAAATAATAATAAATATTGCAAAGCTTATGGTTTCGTTTGGAAAAACATTGTTATCTGTAATGGAAAGTAGTATGAAGTTAAGTCAATGATGGAGTACGCCAGACTTAATATTTCATTGCTTTTGACCAATGTTCTGGACTTTAAAGCAATACTTTCTTGAATCTCCTAAGCAAAATTTATATATTTTGTTACGATATTTTTAAGATTTCTTGAGAGAATCCTCCTGACCAAAAATCGTAGATTTTTAAGAGCATTATGTACAAGGACCTTCCAAAAAAAAAAAAATCCTGCATTCTTTCATAAAAATTGTTTTTAAAGATCTCCTTCACAATTTATGTCAAAAATAGAAATTTTGAAAAACGTCTTTGATGGACCTCTTGATCAACCTTTTTTTGACCAGAAATCTTATTTTTTTAATTCTTGCCTCCTCACTAAAAATCGTAGTAGAAAATCTATTTATTAAACACATTTCTTTAAGAAAATATAATACTGGGACCTCCTAAAAAATGTTTTGTATTTTATGATACAATGTTTTGTATTTTATTGACCAAAATCGTGATTTTGTTTTAAAGACCTCTGGAAAATAGTACACTCCACCATAGTATGGAGCGTATATTTCTATGTCGATTTAGCGATGTCTGTTCGTCTGTGGAAATCACTTTAACTCTCGTACGAATTGAATTAGGTTGATAAAATTTTTCTCAGATTTGTGTTTTGCCTACAGGACTTTTGGTTTTGAAAATGGGCTATATCGTCCACGTTTTGGTATTGCCCCCATATAACGATACCTCACGATATTCGGAATTTGTATGACTTTAGAGACATTATTCACCGGAATTGTTTCAAATTTCGTATTTTATATTCCTAATGGGTACTGCAAGCTATAACAGAAAATTGACTATGCAGTTCCAGGACTTCGTATGGCCTTCATATAAGGGTACCTCCCTATATTCGTTTTTTTGGTGTTTTGGGCATGGTAATCACCGGAATTGTTTCAAGTTTCGTATTTAAATATTTAAATAAATATGCTGAACCCCGTCTTCGTGTAGACCCCAATGTAGGGGTATTTTTATAATTTTTAAAAGTATTTTTCAACGTATTTTTTTTTTAAATTCCAAATTCTTTCTTAATGGTGGAGAGTATCCAAAGTTCGGCCCGGTCGAACTTACTGTTTTTTTTTTCAATGACTTTTCCAAAAAAATAAACTATTACCAAAAATGTTTGATATTTTAAGAGTTTTTTTCTTTTTTTTTTCAAAAAATCAATAAATTTTAATACGAATGTATTTGAGGACCTCTTGACCTAAAACGTGTTGTGTTTTAGGAATATTTTCAAGGATCTTCTAATTAAAAATTGTTTATTTTTATGTCAAGGGTTGTTTTCTAGTCCAAACATCGAATATTTAAACACTCACCTCATAACCAAAAATTGAGGATTATTTGTTTAAATTTTATTGAAAGGCCTGATGAAAAATAGTAGGGTTTAAAGAGCTTTTTTGAACAATCTTCTAACTAAGAATCAAAAATTTCCTAGAAATAAAAAAAAATTTAGTTCAGCATCCCTCTAATCAACAATCCTGCATTCTTTGAATTTTGTTTAAAGACTTCCTGACATGTGGATTTATAAAATTGTATAAAATTGTATTCAAGAACCCCCTGGGGAAACTGAGGCTTTTCACCATAAATTGTTTTTCTAGATCTCCTGACCAAAAATCGTGACCTGAATATTTTTTGGGTTTTCTGGCCAAAATTCGTCGATTTTAAGAACACCCCTTGGAAAAATCTTTGATTTAAAGATTTCTTAAAGAACTCTTTACAAGGACCTCTTGAGACAAAATTGCAGACTGTTTAATAACATTTTATTTAAGGGCATCTTAAATCCCATTAAGCACTACAAATACCACTTTTTAGACAAATCTGTGGAGAAAAGTGACAGAAATCCTCAAAATACCGAATACCGGAAGGTACCGTTATATACATAAAATGTTCCGCCAGACCAGTTTGTGGAAAAATGTGGGGAAAATCATCAAAATACCGAATATCGGGAAGTACCTTTATATGGCGGCTATACCAAAACAATGTTCTGCTACTGGAGCTAGAACCCATTACGAACTACAAAAATCAATATTTAGCGAAATCCGTTGAAAATATGGTGGAAATCATCAAAATACCGAATATCCGAAGGTACAGTTATATGGGGCCCATACGAAATAGTGGACCTAGTTATTCAATGTTCTGCCACCGGAGCTAGGCCCGATTACAAACTACAAATGCCATTTTTTAGACAAATTCATGGAAAAATGTGGCGAACATCATCAAAATACCAAATATTGGGAGGTGCCGTTATATGGAGGCTATACAAAAACGTGGACCGATATATCTCATTTTCAATACCAACCATTATGGAGACAATACAAATTGTTGTACCAAATGTTGAAGCTCTACGTTAAATAATGTGGGCTGTATCGTGATTTCAACAGACAGACAGAGGGACAGACGGACATAGTTAAATCGACTTTGAATTTTGTGTTGATGATGAAAATATATACTCTATTGGGACGAATATTTAGGGACGGGGTGACAAATATGGCCTCCTTTAAAGGTAGAGGATATAAAAATGTTGACGCTTTGTGTGGGAAGTATCAGAAGAATTGGTCAGATATTGCTTACATCGATCAGACGAGATATGACCTGAAATAAATTTGATTCAATGAGACACGGCGTCTAAATCTCTATATATATGTACATAAGAAGTCCGAAATTCACTATAAACTCCATAACTTACCATACCATACCTCTCCTTTTAAGAATTTTAAAGTTTGTCATGACATTTTCCTGTGGACTTAACTTAATTTTGGTATTTCGAGTTCTCATTGTTTATGTCAAGGATATTATCCTTTTAATGTTCACATCTGGTTATTTCTGGCATTTTCACTCCTCCGTTCTATTATCTCAATTTCCACATACATTCTCATTCACTCCTTGGATGGTTACATTCGTAATAATAAAATTATAATCATGTGACAGGATAATTATATCGCATGACGACTTTAGTGAATGAAAAAAAATTTGCATTTAAAGTGACATAAACAGAGGAAAGAAGCGAAAAAAGATGTCAAGAAGAAGAAAATATGGAACTCAACACAGTTCTGCTGTTGATGACATTTGGGTGTTGAAATGGAGGAAGACACCAGCTTCTTGTAGCTCAATTAAATATTGCCTCTTTAGTGGCAGTTAAAGAAAATACCCAGCCATTTGCCAGCCTGCCTGCCTGCCTGGCTGTCATGAAGTAGATGTTTGTCAAATTAGGCTTAATAGCCTCCTTGTAAGTTATGTAAACATTTCATTATTTTAATGTTTAAAAAAGATTAAAATTTTATTATTTTATGCATAATAAGTATGTGTTGTTGTTGCTGCTGTTGCAGATATGCTAGGCTATTACTAAACTAAGGGTGTGTGAATGCTTGCGGTAATGGGTGCGAAAAAACAATAATAATTGGGGGTTAGTGTTCAAGATGCCTTTTTTAATGAACGCGGTGTGTTTGCATGTGTGTGTGCCAGATATGAAGGATATGGGAAAGGAGAATTAAGGACACAAAACATATCTTTGGCAAATTAAATAGAAAAAAGGAAAGGAAAATGGCTTAATGGCAAAACTTAATCTAAAATGTGTGACAGTTTTTGTTTCTGTCGAGGGTGAGGACAATCAGCTACCAGCTAAGTTCCTCTGGCAGGCCACCTGGATATTCGCCAGTCAAACAGGCTGTGCAGTAACCAGTTTTGGTGGGATTCGAAATGGTTTTGTTGTATTCAACGGCTTTGACCAGACCTTCGACGCTCAAATAAGCCAAGCTGTCGGCCCCTGGGGAAATAAACACAAGCATGAGTTTTGGGATCGGAAAATATCTATGGCTTTCAAATACTTACCCACATATGAAGCCAATTGCTTGGCATTCAGTTTATTGGCAATCAATTCCTCTCGGGTTGGTATATTGATGCCCATATAACAGGGATATTGTAGAGGAGGGCTAGCAATACGTATATGTACCTCTATTGCCCCAGCATCCTTAAGCAATTTAATAATGGGACCAATTGTATTACCGCGAACAATAGAATCATCGATAAGTACCACCCGCTTGCCAGCACAATTTTCCGAGAGGGCACCAAATTTCTTGGCCACACCCAATTTACGTAAACGTGTCGAGGGCTGAATGAAGGTACGGCCGACATAACGATTCTTGCACAGGACCTCGGCAAATGGTAAATTAGACTGAAAGGAAAGAAATACATATTTCTTAAATGAAAATCGAATAATTTTTTGCAGAACTAATCTTATAGAACCTATCTTATATTTTCAAAAAAAAAAAAAAAACCAAAAAAAAAAACAAAAAAAAACTGTTCTGACCGACTGGTCGACTGACGACACTGTGTGACAAATTTAATTGTTTTGCAGTGATTACGAGGAAAGTCCAACAGATTATGAAAGTAGAGCTAAAAGAGGTTAAAAAGAATCAGTCAGTTATGCCGACAGATGTATATCCTCAGCCAATGTTCGATTAACAAAATATATTTCGACTTCTGTTATTATTATTCAAAATTTTGACTCTCTATGGAGGAGCTTCCGAAGGAATGGACCAATATTGGCCATTTCGTATCGAGCCTAAATAAATATGATATTCATTGTGGGGGAGGTACCAGCAGGATTAAACCGATATATCCCAACTTAACACCAGACCTTTGGTTCATAAAAATATTGTGATGTGTGTAACTTGAAGAGAACCGGATGATTTTTCGGATTTTATAATGGTTTTTGTTATTCAACATTTTAACCCTTTGTGGGAGAGGTACCAGAAAGGATGCTCCGATCTCTACCATCTTTAAAACAGATCTTGTGTTGATGAAAACATTAAGATGTGCCAAGTCTAAATGGAATCGGATATGAATTTCGTGTTTTATGAGCTTCATGGATCTCCAAAATTTTGACCCTTTGTGGGGGAGGTACCAGAAGGAGTGGACCGATATATCCCATCTTCATAGCAGATTGTGTGTTAGTAGAAATAATGGGATGTGTGAAATACGAAGAGAATTGGATGGTTATTTCGGATTTTGTGATGGCTTTGGTTATTCAAAACTTTGACCCTTTGTGGAAGAGGTAGGAGAAGGAATGATCCGACCTCTACCATCTTTATAACAGAACTTTTGTTGATGAAAACATTGAGATGTGCCAAGTATAAATGGAATTGGATATTAATTTCGTGTTTTATGAGCTTCATGAGTGTTTAAAATTTATACTCTTCGTGGGGGAGGTACCAGAAGGAGTGGACCGATATATTCCATCTTTATATCAGATCTTGTGTTAGTAGAAATAATAGGATGTGTGAAATAAAAAGAGAACCGGATGGTTATTTCGGATTTTGTGATGGCTTTGGTTATTCAAAACTTTGACCCTTTGTGGAGGAGGTACCAGAAGGAATGCTCCGATCTCTACCATCTTTATAACAGATCTCTTGTTAATGGAAATATTGAGATGCACCAAGTCTGAATGGAGTAAGATGTTAATTTCGCGTTTTATGAGCATCATGGATATTCAGAATTTTGGCCCTTTATGGGGGAGGTATTGGGAGGAGTGGACCGATATATCCCATCTTCATAGCAGATCTTGTGTTAGTAGCAATAATGGGATGTGTAAAATAAAAGAAGAGCCGAATACTAATTTCGGATTTTATTATCGCTTTGGTAATTCAAAACTTAGACCCTTTGTGGGGGTGGTTCCAGAGAGAGTAGTCCGATCTCTACCATTTTTATGAATGATCTTGTGTTGATCGAAATATTGAAATGTGCCATGTAAATGTAAATGGAATCGGATGTAAATTTCGCGTTTTATGACCTTAATGGATCTTCAAAATGTTGACCCTTTGTGGGGGAGGTACCGGTATGAGTGGACCGATATATCCCATCTTCATAGCAGATCTTGTGCTAGTAGAAATAATGGGATTTCTGAAATAAAAGGACAGCCGAATGCTTATTTCGGACAGTCTGACTCTTACATCATATTTTATAAGAGTTATAATTATTCCAAATTTTGACCCTTTGTGGGGGAGGTACTTGATGGCGTGGACCGATATTGTCAATTTTTGCGCCTGACCTACCACTAATGCAAATATTAGGATTTCCAAAGCTGTAGCAAATTCGGATTATCCTTTCCTTTTCTGTGCATTAAATTTTTTTTTTTTTGTGAAAATTTCAACCAATTGTGGAAGAGTTACCAGAAGAAGTAGACCAATAGTGGCCATCTCCGAACTCGGTCTAAGTTTGACAAAAATATATTACGATGTGCCAAGTTTGGACCAAATCGGATACTCCCTTTGAGAGTTATCGTGCGCATCAACCAGGCAGACCGACGGGCATCCCTAGATCGACTCCAGATATCCTCAAACAGTTTTGGTCCTAAAAACCTCAGGACCTCAGGATCATTATTTCGTTGGGCACGTTTTGGCCGTACTAAGTAAAATATACCCTCTGTACTCATATGACTTAGGGTAAATGGCAAAAATGATGGATTTCTAAAAAACCTCCTCATAAATGTTGGATTTTTTAAAAGAGTATGTTTTTAAGAGTATCGGCCAGACAGACGGACGAACGGACATCGCTAGACCGACTGAAACAGAATTGGTCCAAAGAGAGTTTTATACCCTAAACTGTTATTTTGATGAGACATGTTTTGGCCATATCAAATGATATACAGGGTGAGATGAAAAAATTGCAACCAACTTCAGACTGCTGTAATTTCTAAGCCACTCGTCCGACAGCTGTTAAAATTATTCCAGTGACAACTCATTATATTGTTTACAAGCGTACAAAAGCATTTTGGTGAGAATTTTCCAGAATAAAAGTTATTCGTGATGGAATTCGAGCGTGAAAGTGTGATTTCTTTATATTTGGCTGAAAAACCACAAGTGGCTATCGTTAGGGCACTCCAGCATTTAAATGTGAATAAATCTTTTGTATCTCATACCATCGCTCGTTACCGTGATACTGGTAGCGTACCCCGTCGTCAAGGAAGTGGACGGAAGAAAACAGCAACATCAGCGGAAATGGTTCAAAAAGTAAAGAAGCGACTTAATCGAAACCCGCGTGGCAGTGGCCAAAATGGCTCATGAGCTGAACATATCACAATATTCCATGCCGCTAAAATCATCAAAATTCCAAAAAAAAGGGAGGAACCATTGTGTGTTGACTATACCAAAACGTGGACCTACATAACCCCTTTTCAATACCTAAAGTCCTGCAGACATAATACACATTTGAGTAAAATTTTATGAACCTACTTTATTTCGTTCGGAAGGTAGAGTGATTTCCACAGACGGATAGACGGAGGACAGTGGAGGGTATAAAAATTACTATTACTACCTCAAGCTCAGATCTCATTAAAATAAAAATTTTAATTTTTTTTCAAATCTTTGAAAAAATGCTAAAAAAACACCCAAAAGAGCAGCTAAGTTCGGCCAGGTCGAAATTTTTATATCCTCCACAGTTCGGAAGGAACTTGAAAACTAAAAAAAAAAAACAAAAAATAAATCCGTCGAAAATTACCGCTCAAATGGCTCGTGAGCTGACTACATCGCGATATTCCATTCGGCAAATATTGAAAAATGAGCTCGGGGTAAAGCCATTGAAATTCCAAAAAATGCAAGAACTTACACCGCAACAGAAAGAAAATACACTCAAAAGAGCTAAAGAGTTGCTTCGCTTGGCCGAAAATGGTGAACTGCCGAAGTTGGTTTTATCCGTCTCCGATGAGAAAACATTTGTTGTCCAGCAGTTTGTAAACAAACAAAATGATCGTATTTACCTTCCAAAGAGGTCAGCAGAAAATGTGCACCTTCGGTTGGCCACCAGAACCCAAGCGCCGGCGCCATGGTGATGGTGTGAGCCGCCATAACAGTCGATGATCGCTCTCCGCTCTCCGTATTAATCGACTGTGGCAGCAAAATAAATGCCGAATATTATCGCGAAAATATTCTGAAGGGTGTATTAAAGTCTTGGGCACGCAAACATATTGGCCGCAGACCTTGGACATTCCAACAGGACTCAGCACCATCGCACTCAGCACGCGCCACCTAAGAATGGTTACAAAATGAGGTTCCTCGCTGCATTGCCAACGCACAATGGCCACCAAAGTTTCCGGATACCAATCCGTTGGACTATTGTGTCTGGAGTATTTTGGAAAGCAAGGTTGGCACAAAAAAACATCAAAGTGTCGATCATCTCAAGCAAGCGCTTCGCCGGGAATGGGCCAAAATACCGCAGAACAACATTCGGGCAGCGTGTGACGGTTTCATTGGCCGTCTGAAGGCCATAATTTGTGCCAAATGTGACCAATTCAAACTAATCTAAACGTATTCTAAAATTTGATGCTGCTTCCGAATTTTTTTGATTTCATTCAAAAAAAAAAAAGGAAAAATTTATGGCGTTTGATTTTGTTGCCGTTTTTTTTTTCTCACCCTGTATTTGAATTCCTGGTGTTTATGTAAGATTTATACTATAGATGTTTTCAAGTATCTATACAGGGTTGCCCATATTCGAAGGATGGGTCCGTAGAATTTTATGGCAAATAATGTTGAGGAATATTTTGTCTTACTGCGATCCCGCTTAAAGGAAGTTTTTAACAATATTTTCAAAAAAAAAAAAAAATAAAAGAGACCCCAAAATATTCTCTCTTTTTTATCTGCAATTATTCCGAAGGCATTAATTTTAATTTAAAAAATTCCAAAAGGTGTTGAAGAGAGGGAACTTGCCTCCTCTATTTAGCAAACTTTCAAAACGCCGATACATTTGTCTTATTTTTTAGTTCTACTTTCATAAACTGCTGGATTTTCCTCGTACCCTACTTAACCAGTTAAATATACGTCCCGTTTTCACCTTCTACTCAGCTTAATTTAAAAAAAAAAAAATCTTAGCAATTTACATCTCCCACACTCACCTCTCTGGCATAACCATGTGCCGCCGCTGTGCCCGACTCCGGCACCGAACTCACAATATCTGCATCCACAGGCGATTCACGCGCCAATTGCCTACCACACTGCAAACGCACCGAATAAACCATTTGACCTTCAAATATCGAATCGCTTCGTGCGAAATAAACATATTCAAATATGCAAAAGGCCATGCGTTTATAATCGGGACGTTCCACAATGTCCACGGTGCGGAAGCCATTGCGTGTCAGTTCCACAATTTCACCGGGTTCCACTTCACGCACATAGCGGGCACCAATCGAGAGGAAACCACAACTTTCACTGGACACCACCCAACCTTCGGCTTGGGCATCTTCTGGTTTGCCAGCGCCCAAGGTGATGGGAACAATTTTGCCAATACACAAAGGACGATTGCCATACGAATCACGAACGGCATAGATTTTGTCCTTGTGCATTACGACCAGGGAATAGGAGAGCGGGGCCAATGTCATGAAATGGCGTATGCGGGCTGGCCAATTGGGGCCATCATGTTCGGAGGCATCCTCGGGGGCGCAGCACAGCGACTGGGCAATCAGTTCACTGTCACTGTGGGTGGACAGGCCCACTCCGCGATCAAGGACCTGCAATGAAATTGGAAAATTAATTAAATCTTTAAAAAAATTTAAAATCGCCCACTCACCTCCCGCCTCAACTGCTCACAGTTCACCAACTCTCCATTATGGGCAATGGCCAAGGCTCCATGCGAGGTGTGCACCACAAATGGCTGGCAATTGACCATTTCCGAGGCAGCCGCCGTCGAATAACGTGTATGACCTATACCCAAATTACCACGCAGCCGATTTATGGACTCATCATTGAAGAGATTATTAATCATGCCCATGCCCTTGTGGACGTTGAATTTTTTCGACGATGCGCCATCACTTGTCACTATGCCGGCTGATTCTTGACCACGATGCTGCAATGCCACCAGACCCAAACAAATCACTTGGGCGATATCAATCTATGAATGAAAAACGAAACAAATAACAACAACAACAACAACATTAGGAATGGCATTTGAAAAAAATACTGATTTGGAGGTAGCTGGATGGCTGGCTGGAGGTCTTATCGCCCGCAAATAAATGTTTGCATGTTGCCGCAGAAAAAAAAATATTTTCCCTTTTTAAATACAAATTTGTTTTTGTTAATTAAATCATTTATTTTAAATTGTAATGCAATAAACAAACAACAGAAACAACAACAACAACAACAACCAATGAAGACAATTATCAATCGCCAGCCATTTCCGAAGGCATTGACAACAAATTCTGAATCGTATTGAAATTTTCCAAAGCGATAAGAATTGTCCGCTAAAAAACGTGATCTGAAGTGATCTTCTTCTTTAAACAGGGCAGTGTGACGTTGTTAACAGTTGTTGTAAATTATTTGTTTTTGTCAATTTAATTTGAGGGTTAATATTCTTCATTTTTGTAATCGGCCAACAATTTGTAAGGTCATTAACTGTTAAAATTCTTTGGGAAATAAAGTTAATTTTTTTGAGGAAAGACATATCGAATACTCAAAATAAGCTTCAAGGTACCGAAAGAGAATCCCTGGGAACTTAAAATTTAAATCAAGTAAAAAAGCTGTGTAAGTTCGGCCGGGCCGAATTTTGAATACTCTTCACCATTTGGAATGAATTTGCCAATTTTCAAAAAACTAAAATCCGTTAAAAAAATCTGTTCAAATCTTAAAAATACCGAATGTAGCCTTTATATTAGGTTCTATACGACGACGTGGACCTGCATCGGCAAGTTTTGTCATAAGCCATGAAAATATTCAAATTTGAAACTTAAAAAAATCATCAAAATTGGGTATTTTGATGAGGTATCGTTATATGAGGGCTATACCAAAATGTGGACCTGCATACACAGTTTTTTTGTCATAGGCTATAGTACCCATTACGAACTTCAAATACGAAATTCGAAACAATTCCGGTGAATAATGTTTCTAGAATCATCAAAATGCCGAATATCGGTAGGTATCGTTGTGTGGGACCTATATGGACAATTTTCTTCCAGAGGGTAAAGTACTCAGAAGGAACTCCTTATGTGGATCTAGAGACAATCCCATTGAAAAATTTGTCAAAAATCATCCAAGTATCGTATATCGGGAGATACCGTTACATAAGTCTTCGAACTTTGCCTGCCTACAGGCCAAAGACTGGTCAGTGGAAAATTTTAGCTTTCTATCTCAACTCGTTTCGACTCTAGCGAGAGGGAAGAACAGAACAAAATCTTAGAATTTTTCGCCGATCAAAGATATAGGGTCTAAAATCATTATTTCGATGAGTAACAAAAGGAATGACATCCTATTTATTTGGAGGGTATAAAAACAAATAGCAGGGATAGATCCGACCACCCTATTGTAACTACAAAAAGAGCAAAAATTGTTTCAAGGCGGATAGATACTATTTTTGGGACCTTTAGGACTTTAAAGTAATTAAAAGAATGACTTTACGTGTCTAAGGAAAATATATTTTCAGAAACCAGCAAAAGGCTTTGCTAAGGTCACTTAGTTGTTTTAAAAATGTCCATTCTTAGGTTCAAGACTATATTGGGTGTAACACATCGTTCTCTCTGCCCTCCTATTTTGGTGTAAATCGCAATTTAGCCATGTCGTGAAAAAATAAATAATAATGGGTATTGAAAGACAAATAAGGTAAACAACATTGGCACCGTGGTTCAGAATTCAATAATCCTGCCCAGATCCTCTACGAAATGATTATTTTCGTACAATTTTTGTACATATTACATTAATAAGTTATTAATTATAAAAAAAAAACGGTTCTAGAACCCAAGTCTCTGTGGACTAAATCTGTTTCAGAGTCTATCTAGAGATGTCCGTCGGTCTGTCTGTCTGGTTGGTGCACACGATAACTCTAGAAGGGAGTGTCCGATATGGTCCAAACTTGGTACTTAGTAATTTTTTAGTCAAATTATCGGTAGTATCGGTCCACTCCTTCTGGTACCTCTCCCAAAAAAGGACGAAATTCTCAAAAAAAAAAAAAAAAAACAACAACAACAAAAAATGGCACAGAGAGAGAAAGGCTAATATGATTTTGCTCCAACTTTGGAAATCCTAATATTTGCATCAGTGCTAGATCATGTACCTCCCCCACACAGGGACAAAATTTTGAATGACTATAACCCTTAAAAAAAATGATGTATGAGTCCGATTGTCAACAAATTACACACATCACAATATTTTTATTTACCCAAGGTCCACCTCTTCTGGTACTTCCCCACAAAGGGGTCAAAATTTTGAATGTTCATGAAGGTCATAAAACACGTAATAAACATCCGATTTCCCTCACGTAATAAACATCCGATTACAAGATGGTAGAAATCGAACCATTCGTTCTGGTACCTCCCGCACAAAGGGTCAACGTTTAGAATAACAAAAACGATGATAAACTCCGAAATAAATCCGCTTCTCTTCATATTTCACACCTCCAAATATTTCTATTAACACAACATCTGTGGTGAAGATGGGATATATCCGATATATCAACATTTTGAATAGCCATGAAGCTCATAAAACGCAACACTAGTCTGCGATTCCCTTTAGACTTGGCACATCTCAATATTTATATCAACACAATATCTATTATAAAGTTGGTAGATATCGGACCATTTCTTCGGGTGCCTCCCCCACAAAGGGTCAACGTTTTGAATAACCAAAACGTTTTTAAATTTCGATATAGGCGTCAGGTTCTTTTTATATTTCACACATTCCATTATTTTTACTAACACAAGATCTGAGGTGAAAATGGGATGTATCGGTCCACTCCTTTTGGTAATCCCCCACAAAAGGTTCAAAATTTAAAAAAAAAAAAAACACTCAAAGAAAGCGAAATAAGCATCCAACTCTTCAAATTTCACATATCAAACTATTTTGCTAAAGCAAAATTTGTTGTAAAGATGATATATATCTGCGAACTCCTTCTGGTGCCTCCCCCACAACGGGTCAAAATTTTAAATAATTACAACTCTCATAAGACAGGAACTTTTCTGAAGAAATATTAATTTTTTCATATCAATTGAAAGAAGTAGTCGATATAAAAACCAAATCTAATAATTAGTATTAATATTTGTATAAAACTTATGTCAGATATGAAATGGAAAATATAGACCCACTCCGTCAGAACCTCTCCTATGAAGGGACAACAGTTTGAATAATCATAACGCAAGTCAAAGTATATTTAAATAACCAAACATTGGCTGAGGTTATGCAGCTGTTGGCTATACCGACTGATTCCATTTTACTTGTTTTATATTTTTTTAAGCAGCGTTAAACCATCCGTTTAGTGTATTTTAGGTTTAATTGATCCAAAAAATGTTAGTAACACCTTGAAATATTTTTCGCAGGCCTCCATGCAGTTATGGTCCTAGCCTTACGAAATTTTGCATTACTTTAAACTCAGAATAAAGGCCTATTATTTTTTGGGAATGTTCGAAAAAAAATATTGGAATGAAAAACTAAATTTTCAATCACTCTATAGGTTACAATTATACACCAATCAAATATTGGGTGTAAATATAGAGCAGATTTTGCGAAAATTTACAACGTCTCGTAGCTACGGTAATAGAAATATTGGGGGGTGTGAAATACGAAGAAAAGCGGATACTTATTTTTTTTCGCATTTTATGATCGTTTTTGTTATTCAAAACGTTGACCCTTTGTGGAGGAGGTACCAGAACGAATGGTCCGATCTTTGCCATCTTTATAATAGGTCTTGTGTTGACTGTATTGAGATGTGTCAAGTCTGAGGGAAAGAGAACAATTTTTTTTTAAAGACCATCTGTCATTATTCCAGGAATGAAATGACATGTTCATTATGCTTGGAAGAAAGTTTTGAATGTAAAATTTGTGGTTTCGGCTAGATTACAGACCTATCAGGATTATTCGAAAGGATGATCTAATAAATTACACATTACAAATTACACATTATTAGCAAATCCGACAAAACGAAAATTAGAGAATAAACTTTGATATTTCGAATGATTTCTAAGTAGCCCAATCATTAACCCCCCTTAAACTGAGAAATTCGTTCATTCCATATTCGTTCATTCCATCTTCAGAAACTTTACATTGTAGAGGATCACACGGTCGTCTGTCTGTAACCTTAACTTTTTTGATATTATTATTATTATTTCTCCTTTTTTTTTTTTTTTTTTTTTTTTTTTTTTAATGGAAAAATCGACTTTTTCATTTTTTTTTTTAATTTATAAAGAGGTGTATGATTTTTATAAGAATAATTTTATCCAATTCTTACAGGAGACAAATCAAAAAATATTTGCTATTGTGTCCTATATAAAAAATGTAGTATGTTTTTAACATTTTCGGGCCAGAAAAAAATCTTCGATTTTCGAAATTCTAAAAATTACTATATAATATTTAAAATCGGATGAAAATAAATTTTAAAAACCTGATTTTTCAAAATTTTTTGGTGATTTTTGTTAAATTTGCTTGTTGCGAAATTTCTCTCCTAGTACTAGAACCACGAATATCTATTTCCTTTTTTAGTCCTACAACTTACCTGTGTTGGCCAATCTCCGCATGCAATTGCCCCAAAAACACCACATTCACATGTCATGCCAGTGACCTCCTTTCCTTTGGGTTGGACTTCTTTGTATTTTTTGTCGGGGAACATTTTGGGATTTTTGCAGCAGCCACTTGACGAGGGTTCGCCACAAACATCTGTGATTTTATTTCAATTTCAGACGATATTTTTTAAAAATTATATAATTTTTTTTTAAATCTTACCATTTGATTTTGTTGAATTATCCATATTTTTAATTTTTTTACTTAGAATAGATTTAAATAAATTATTTTTTGAATCCTTTTTTCGTTGACTATATACTTTAGCGATTTTTTTTTTTCACCAGAATTCCTTTTGCAAAAATCACCAACTGAATATTCACACCAGATTGCAGGTCCGTTTTGTAGGAAATCTTGGCGAAAACTGTCTCAGTGCAGCGTCAGATAATGCATTATATTTGAGAAATCGATGTTTATTTTCTGTTTATTGTTCGATCGATCGATCACATGTGTAAAATTATTGGTTAGTTTTTCTTCGGCAACAAAAACATCATTAAGAAAAAACTATACAAAACAAAAATAAAAAAACAACAGAACACACACTTTTTACTGATAAGGAATATAAAACTTTAGTCAAGGCTTGCACGAGTTTTTAGTTTTTTTATTTTTTTATTATTATTTTTAGTTCAATTCACTGATTTGAAGATTACTTGGTGCATGGAAGCTGAATTGTAAATACTATTTTTAATTCAGTTTTTTTTTTCTACCGAAATTAACCACCCGCCAGCTCGGCCTTAACAAGTCAAACTGTGGCAAATTGATTAAAAGATTTTCTTATAACCTGACTTTCTTCGGTGCGATTTTTTCGGAAGAATTTAAATTAATCGTTGATAAGAGACCGTTTACAAAATTTCACATGCGTTAGTCTCACACAGCCAATGGCTGACAAAAGATCTTATCTCTAATTGAGTTTTTTTTTTTTTTTTTTTTTTTTTTTTTTTTTTTTTTTGAGAAGGTCCCTCACATTTTGTGCGAACATTTGTTTAATCAAATTGGTTTTATTGTAAAAAAATACAATAAACAATAATCTATTTATTATAAATATTATTTAAAAACTGCAAAAAGAAGAAATCTGTTCTTTGGTGCGTAAATATGAATGATGAAAACAAAGTTGTTGACGTCGATGTTGTGATCACTTCGTCTGGACAAGCCCCTCTTCTTCATCATCAAATCGATCGATGTTCGAATGCGGCACACACAGTGTGTGTGGCGAAACAAAAATCTAGTTTTATATTAGTATTGTTGTTAAATACATCGCGTACATATACCCTACTGTGAGACCATAGTAAATAGCCGAGGTGTTACAAATGGAACGTCCAAATTTTAATACCTCCGTTCTTATGCTGTAGGGTATACAAATTGTGTAGATGAGAAGAATATTTACTCTAAGATACATATCTGTGGTCCTGAGAGGGCCGAATTCAAATATTTTATACCAAGTTTTGAAAATAAATTTTTGTTAATTAAAATATATATTTTGACTTGCTTAACTTGAAAAGGATCCAATCTAAGTCTGATATAAATATTTGGACTATTTTGAGTACTTCCTTAACATTATATACCGTAATTTTTGGAAAATGTTGAAAGGTGTGTGAGGTTCAAAATATAGTAGACCAAGGTATTGCACTACAACTAATAAAGATGAAAATATTGAATTAAAAAAAAATAAATAAAAATTATTTTTTTTATTTTATGCAAATAATTTTTAATCAAAAAATTAGAAGAGTAGGACTAGAAGTTGTGAACCGATAACTTCCATATTCAGTTGATAGAAATTTCGCAAGTTATGAAAGTTATGTGGGATGTGCCAGAAAGGGTGGGTCGATAGATATCGCCCACACCAGATCATATATCACGCCTGATCTTGCTTTAGTAAAAATGTTTAGATGTGTAAAATTGGAAGAGAATCGGATGCGGACTTTAAATTTTATGAGCTTTTTAAATATTAAAAAATGTGACCCCTTGTGGAGCAGGTACCAGAAGGAGTGGGCCGATATTTGCAATCTTCACAACAGATCTTACGTGAGTAAAAATATTGAGATGATATAAAATTTTATTATTATGCAAAAATGTTACCTCTTTGGAGAGATACCAACTGTAGTGATCCGATATATTCCATCTTCATACTTGACCGAAATATTGGGATGTGCCGATTTTGAAAGGAATCTGATGCTTATTTCTCGTCTTATAATGAAGCTTATAAAACGAGAAATAAGCATCAGATTCAAATTATTATTATTATTCAAATTTTTAACCTGTTGGGGGAAAGGTACCAGTAATATTGGGCCCTTCCATCCATTTTTAATAGCCAATCTTGTGTTGGTAGAAATATTGAGGTGTGTGAAGCTTGAAGATAATCGCACACTTATTTCACATTTTATAAGAGTATAATTATTTAAAATGCTGACTCTTTGTGGTGGAGGTTGTTGATGGGCCTTTTTCGCACCATTCGCTTTCTATGAAGCAAAACATTTTCACTTATTGAAGGTCAAATTTCTGGGGACCCAGGAGCTCTATTGGCTTACTATATACCATTGGAACCAGTACAAGAATATTTTATGGGGGATTATCGGAGCTTTAAACGAGTATTTTTGAAGTTGTATTTTCTCTTTCTTTAAGAAACCATCAGAGTTACAAACATCGAAACTTAAAGTCACAAACGCTGATTTTTAAAAACAAATATTTTTCAAGGACCATCAAAGACTCTTTTCTTGCCTTAATCATGGATTTTTAAAGAAACTATTTCGAGTTCTTCTGATACCATATCGGACTACTGAGGCCCTAAGCGTGGTCTGTTAAGGATAATTTTTTGAATGTTTATACCCTACAACACATAGTGGTAAGGGTATTATGTCTTTGTGCATCTGTTTGTAACAGGTAGAAGGAAGCGATATAGTCCCATAGTTACTTTTGAGGATCTTCATAGAATCACTTTCCGAGTCGATTTATGCATGTCACTCCGTCCGTCCGTCCGTCCGTCCATCTGTCTGGATTTATTTTCCGATTGAGATGAAAATTTTCAAACAATATTTGTTTGGCCCAAGGAAACTGAAATTGGTGAGAATTTTTAAATTTTATAAATGTTATTGAATGCAAGCAAAAAATGTCGAAAATAGCATCAAATTTTAGAATAAATTTAGATTTGTTCGAATTGGTCGCCTTTGGCACGGATTATGGCCTTCAAATGGCCAATGAAACAGTCGCACGCTGCCTCAATGTTGCTCTGCGGTATTTTGGGCCATTCCCGGCGAAGCGCTTGCCTGAGGTGATCGACATTTTGGAATTTTTTAGTGCCAACCTTGCTTTTCAAAATACTCCAGATACAATAATCTAACGGATTGGTGGATGGATGGATTTTGGTGGACATTGTGCTCTGGAAATGAAGCAAGGAACCTCATTTTGTAACCATTCTTTTGTGGCGCGTGCTGAGTCCTGTTAGAATGTTCAAAGTCTGAGACCATAATGTTTACGTGCCCAAGGCTTTAATACACCCTCCAGAATATTTTCGCCATAACATTCGGCATTTATTTCGACCGTGGATTAATACGAGCGGAGAGCGACCATCGGCTGTTATGCCTGCCCACACCATCACCATGGCCGTCGCTTGAGTTCTGGTGGCCAACCGAAGGTGCACATTTTCAGCTGACCTCTTTGGCAAGTAAACACGATCATTTTGTTTGTTTACAAACTGCTGGTCAATAAATGTTATCTCACGGAAGAAAACCAAATTCGGCTGTTCACCACTTTCGGCCAAACGAAGCAACTCTTTAGCTCTTTTGAGTCTATTTTCTTTCCGTTGCGGTGTAAGTTCTTGCACTTTTTGGAATCTCAATGGCTTTACCCCGAGATCATATTCAATATTTGCCAAATGGAATATTGCGATATGTTCAGCTCACGAACCATTTTTTTCGGCCCCTGCGACGCGGGTTTGATCAAGTCGCATCTTTACTTTTCGAACCATTTCTGCTGATGTTGTTGTTTTCTTCCGTCCACTTCCTTGACGTCAGACTACGCTACCAGTATCACGGTAACGAGCGATGGTACGAGACACAAAAGGTTTATCCACATTTAAATGCTGGAGTCCTCTAACGATAGCCACTTGTGGTTCTCCAGCCAAATATAAACAAATCACACTATTCCGCTTAAATTAAATCACGAATAACTTTTTTTCTGGAAAATTCTCAACACAATGCTTTTGTACGGCTGTAAGCAATATAATGAGCTGTCACTGGAATAATTTTAACAGCTGTCGAACGAGTGGCTTAGAAATGACAGCAGTCTGAAGTTGGTTGCAGTTTTTTCATCTCACCCTGTATATTTATCCGGTATCAGGTATATTGTGCTCCGAATGGTTAATCCTAGACCAAATCATTGTTCACGATATATGTAATTTCAGCCCAAATTGGATAGATTTTTTCATATTTAACCGAATTTTTCCATTTTGTGGAACTCGGTCCGGTATATCTGTTGCTCCAATAAATATTTGTTTATTTAATTCTTATCGAAGTCATATACAATACTTTTTATCTTTCACGACAAATGTCGAAAATATGTCCCATAGAAGCCATTTCCACTTTCTCTCGTGGAGGATGATGGCATTCTGTCTTGTAAGTTTCACACTATGTCACACTGTGTCTTCTCTGATGATGCTGTTCAATGGAGGATAACTTAAAATTGACTTGGCTCATTGAACTACTTATTGGTCATAAACACATATCGGTTGCAGCTGCTGCTGCTGTTGTTATTGCTGTTGTTTTGTTTGGTTTCAGTTACAAATGCCATTCATCTCTTGGCGTGTAAACAAATAACTACATATTTAAATAAATAAATAAAAAATATGTAAAAAATGAAAATAAATAAATAAAAACAACATCAACAACGTTTAAGTGGAAAAATTTTAATTGTGCTGATAATTTTCAACACCCCACGAAGCGAATAAATGTGAATTTAATTAAAAGTCAATTGTATCACAACAACAATAACGACAACAGCAACAACAACAACAACAAATCAAGCATCAACAATCGAAATCAATCAAACTGCACAAACATGCCATGATAATTCAATAATTAATTATTGTGAACAAATTTTCTGTTAGCCCTTGGACTGGGATTACCGCCATGTCCGTTGGTATTGGAATAGAGGTGGATTTTTCCGTAATATAAATAGATTTTACAAAGGAGGAGACCTGGGTATTCTGACTGAAAATAGTGGCTTATCAACAGCCCTACCCATACTCCAGGCCAGAAATTCTATATTTAAGTTAAATTTGTACATACGAATTATAAAGTTTAATACATATGCTCAGGGAATGTGGAGATTTTTAGGAGGATATATACAGGGTGAGATAAAAAAATGCAACAAAGTCAAACGCCATTATTTTTTACATTTTTACACCCTCCACCATACTACTCCGTCTGTCTGTCCGTTTGTCTGTTGTAATCACGCTATCTTTTGAACGAATTGTGATAGAAGGCTAAAATTTTTGATTTTAGCGACATT